CGGCACGAAAAGGTTGTAAACATGGGACCAAACACACTTAACAACAGAGGTTTGGGGCTCAGTTGTGGGGGTAAGTCAATGCCTGTGTGAGGCCTGCAGCCATCTTTTCTTTTGGGTCTTTCTATTATTCTATGATAACTTTTTCTATGGTGGGAAAATGGGATTGTATGGAGTTAGATGCTAGGTAGCCATAACAACATTCTTTCTAGAAAGCCAAGGTCACCCTTCGTCTTTTGCACCTCTGCACCTGACCGGAACTGGATGGGTGGAATCTGTCTTTGTGGCAGTGGGAGATTGGACCATGGGATGGACTGGTGGGTGTGGGGATGGCAAGATCTTGAACTTTCAACTGGGTGGGGGAAACAGGGAAGCCTTCAGATTTGGGTTTCCCCAGATGTGCCAACGTGGCTCTCTTCATAAAATGGGATTTTGAGGAATCCTTTGCCTCGGACTCTGATTTACTTTGGAACCCTGACACCCCAGACACAAACACTCACCACGTATCTCTCCTTCGGGACCTCCAAATTCTGCACAATCTGGAGCTCCCCAGCGGGACCCTCCTCCCAGAGGACTGTTTTCTGGAAGAGATAAAGCCCACAGGAGGTCTGTCATGGATCTGCTGGGCAAGGAAGGGGGCGAAGGGGGCACTGGGGAGCTGCAGCTCACCTGTGTCACCAGGTAGGGCACTTCGTGGGGCAGGTGTTCCAGGAGTCTCGCCCGGATGAGGTTAGCGCAGATCTCTTGCGGGGATTGGCTGGTCAGAACCTCGCTGTGGTACTCCCAGGGGCCGGGCTGGGCTTGCTTGAGGAGGTATTTCTGTGGGCACAAAGGATCCTGGCTCACACCTGTGGAGTGGAGGGGGCTACCTGTATGGCACCCCCCCCCAACTGCACAGGGCCCAAGGATTCCTCTGCAGGATCCAGCATCTCTTCCCTCCTACGCAGGTGGTCCTCGACTTATGGCCACAATTGAGCCCAGAATTTCTGTTGGTAGGCCAGACAGTTGCTAAGTGAGCTTTGCCCTGTTTTACAATCATTCCTGCCACGGTTGTTAAGCGAAGCATTACAGTTTTTAGGTGTCACACGGCACCAGGATACTGCAACTGTCATAAGGATGAGTCAGTTGCCAAGCATCCAAATTTTGACCACATGAACACGCCGATGCTGCTACGGTCATAAGTATGAAAAATGGTCATAAGTCACTTTTTTTCAGTGCTGTTGTTAACTCCGAATGGTCACTAAGCAAGAGGTCGTAAGTCAAGGACTACCAGTACAGATGAAGACTCTCAGTCACCCAGGTAGAGTTGTCTGCAAGGAGAGTCACTGGATTTCTTTTATCTTTATGTCAAATGTGTTGCTGCTCATCCAAGTAGCTTCTTTGGACGGAGCCAGGTGGCTAAGGAGACCCCAGGGAAGCCCCCCCCCCCCCAGGGTGGTTTCTCTGCTCACCTGACCTGAATAGAGCCCTTAGGCGAGGAGGCAGCTGATGAAGAGTCACTCCTCCTCAATCCTTTCCCCTAAGGCCAGAATCCCCCCACTCCACCACTCCCCATAGCATGGACGGCTGGGGAATGCTGGGAGTTGAAGTCCACAAGCCTTAGAGTTGCCGAGGGGTGTGGATGCTCCTGGCCTAGGCATACAAAAGCCACTTGAACAAGCAGCGAAACATCCCCGACCCAAACGAAAAGACGTCCAGGTGCCATGATTCCAATGCCAGATTCTGGCAATTCCCCCCAACTGAAAAGAAAACCCAGTTTTAAGCTAAAGTGTTCTCTGCTGTTCTTCTCCCCCAATTCTGTTTAATCCCGGGGAGGCTGGGAGTGAAGCATTACACCCAAATGGCTAGGGCAGGGGAGTCAAACTCGGGAGCCCTGGGCCAGATGCCCCACAGGCTGGCCACGCCCATCCCTGGTTTAGCGAAGGGGGGGGGGGAAGTCCCGATACATGACAACATGAGTTTGAGACCCCTGGTCTATGGAGCGGCTCCATCATACAGGTCAGGGTTGTCCCAGAGGTTCTGGACTTTTTTAGGATTTTTGTTTGAAAACCTTTCACTTTTCATCTGAGAAGCTTCTTTTTCAGGTCTTCAGAGTTCCTTCCTTCCTTCCCATTCCCATCCTCTTTCTTTCCTGCTTTCTTTCTTTCCTTTTTCCATCCTTCTTCCCTTCCAATTCCTATCACCTCTTTCCCTTCCCTCCCTCCCTCCCTCCCTCCCTCCCTTTCTTTCTTTTCCTCCCTTCCTTCCAAGTTGTGGGTATTCCAACACTGGAGCTTTTTAAGATGACCATTTAGGAGAACCACTTCTAAAGGGATTAATACCAGACATACAATTAAGAAGAAAATAATACCCTAATCAAGGAACTATCAAGGAGAAAACCATACTCCAACAAATACTGCCAGGGCAACCTACTGGATATAAACAGAAAGCAAACACCAATAGCAATAGCAA